TCCTTTCATAGCTTATAATAGCTCAAACTTTTTAGTCTCTTCACCACAACGTATGGAAAGCCGATCCATCTGTCAAATGGATAGGAATATGAGAACTTTTCTTATTACACACCGAGATAAAACTGGATCAATAAATACTTTGCTCGATACAGAATCATAAACTGGACCAAAAATATTTATTAATATTGGTTCCTGAAATGGACAACCATTTTCGATTTGACATTATACATACTTTTTCGGTTGTTCGATAAGTATTTAAAATATCTTGATAGACGTTGTCCCATAATAAACCGTCCTTGAGAGTAAACAAGAGAATTCTCATGCTGGAGAATAAAAACACTTATTATAGTCGGCTTTAAAATTCTTTTATATGTTTGGCGTAGAAGTTTCGATATGGTTGCTCATGAACCTGGTTGGACAAACTGAAAAATGAACAAAAAGAGAACGAGTAAATGATATATTTCATGTATAAAATATTGTATTTAAGTTGATTAACCGAATTTAAAGTCACTTGACTCACAACTGATACTACAATATATTAATCCAATTTATTAAAAACAAATGAAACATAAAGATAAAGTAAAATAAAAGGTTCATAAAAGATTTCGAAAAAAAACTTTAAAGCTATTATATTTCTAAATATTTTTAACAAGTTTTATACACTTCTGCAAGTAAAAAAATTATTTTGATTAATATTTAAAATAGAGGAAAAAGAAACCCAATTTTTAAATATGCCGCATCATTTGCACCAATCTTATCATAATGACCAATCACTTCGTAAAAAACTTCATCTCCAATAATAAAATGAAATCATGATTTCGTACAATTCTATCATAATTATAACATATTTTATAAGACTTTAAATTAATTATATCATTTGCTCGAAGATATAATGAATTATTGAATTTAGGTTTCAGATTTATCAATTGACATTCAACAATACAACATTTACGACTGGATACTATTATAAAAATAAAAAATTTTATTAAATTTATACACTATTCATATATATATTTTAGATACCGTACCGTACTTTCACGTTGTCCAGTTGTCGGAGACTTATCATCTCTACTTGCATATAATTCCATATTAGTTTTTTATGCATTAATTATTTGGATTTCACATTATAAGGTACTTCCTTTTCACTACAATTTTTTAAAAACCATAAAGCGTTTTTATTTGGTAGCTTTTCATTAGCAAATACCTAAAATTAAAATTTGTATTTAAATAATATTGTTTGAATAATAATAATATTTAAAGAGACTTTATTAAACAGACCATTTGAGCATTAGTGCTCATATAATTTATCTTGCAACTCGATAAATATCTACCTGTTGTAACATTTTTTAAGGCTATCATAGAACCATATTTAATTACATTTGACTCATCAAATGCAATCTCATAAAATAATTTAGAGGTTTCATTAATTTGATTTTTTGAACTCATAATATCTGACCTTCTTTCAAATTCAACTTTAAAGAATTTATTTGAAGAATACGTATTAATAAGGAGTTTTTAATTTCATCGGGATCATTAATTTCGGCATCATTTCAAAGCGTGCGAAATTTTGCAAAAACGTAGCGGTAAAATTGTCCTCCTTTTCAGGAATATATTTCATTTCTTGTAATTTTCCCTTACAGGAACCTTTAAAAATGTTAAAAGTTGAGTGAGATTTGAGTGTATTGACAAGTTTATCTGTATTATTAATATCATCTGGGATGGTTATATTAGAATTTATCATTAAATACATAATTCAAGTATTTCTTGTTCATTTGTAATTCGATTTACTTTACAATATGCACGCATGTGTTT